TTTAAAGTCAATTTTTGAGCTAAAATGCTCATCTTCGAACTCGATCTGTCTTTTTGTGATACAAAACGACCCTGAAATTCCCAGATCGCTATCTCAATAGGGTGTTCCAGGCTATCTAGAACGGAAGTGAAAAAGAATAAACTCACCGATTAATCTGTTTCCGTCCTCTCAGTATGAGAAATTGCCATGGTAGTTTGGTCCGATTCTAACCTCTCAAATATGGAGGCGAGCTCGAAACTGACCTGACGGTTTTTCATACCTGAAACGCCGTCGTGACACGTGATCAGCTCAACCAATCAGAGCCATCGCGGAAACAGAAAAGTCAGTGAGTTTGTTCTTTTCCTACTTCCGTTTTGGATAGCCTGGAATACCCTATTCTTTCTCGAGTTATCGTGCGTACAGACAGACAAACAGAATGAAACTTTTCCGGTCGGTGGAGTTATGGTTTTCGCTAATCGCTCAGCCAATAAAACCCCGAGGAACAAAATTTGAGACTTTTGAATGCCTACTGACGACTTTGGCCCGACTCCGGTGTCAGCGCCGCAGGCCCAGGTAGATGTATGCCAGGCGCGTCGCAGCGTTACAGTCTTTCGTGAGATATCGCGAAGCCTGTTACGCGAGACGTGGTCTGGCGTACATCTACCCAGTGTATTCTATATTTCTAGAAACGAGGTGTACATGCGGAGGCCGCGGGGGCCTGGCTCAGGTGGTTCGTCAGCGGCGCCGTCCGTGAGTGGTTGTGGACGGTCGTGTTGTGGTCCGGCTCGGCGAGGGGGGGGCACGGTGGGCCTGCTGGCCTGAGGGCTGCTCGCTGGCCTGCAGTTCCCGGAGTGGCCTGTGCGGGCTCCCTGCCACCATCCTGGCCAGGTTCATGAAGGCAGCCGGGCGAAGAAGATGACCCTGCCGTGGCCTCGGACGTGGCCGGGCTGGTGTGATGCTGCGGTACGACCTCGAGCTGCAATGCAATGTACTGATTACATGTAGGCATAGTTGCTGCGTTCGTCCTCTTCGGGGTCTGCGGGGCGCCAGGCCTGGTCGGGTCCGTCCCGCACTTCAAGCAGGCCTCCGGTCTTCCACAGGCTCCGGTCGTCGTTGGCTTCGTCGGTGTGCGATGGGGTTGTGGAAGGGGTGTGGCCCGCCATGCGCCACTGGTAGTTCATCTTGACTGTGCTCTGGACTGTTTTCTGTCTCTTCTTATAGCTCGCTGGCCGCCGCCGGGGAGGGGGCGGGTTGTTGTCGGCTGCTGCCTGCTTGGTTTTGTTTGGTTAGCTATATGGTGGGGGCTCGGTCAGGTGGCGGCACTTGCTGGGTCATTTCACCAAAACTGTCATACCATTGTCCACAGTCGATAGCGGACGAATAAGTCACCTCACAAGGACGCCACTTTGCACTAATCTGTCCGACGACATAACAAAACGAATCCACGAATCCATACTCGATTTGTCAGTTGTGCCAATAGATAATCGGTTGCGATGACCAACTCATTTTTTTCAGGGTGTTGTTTCTGTTTCTAGGTTGTCTTTACAGCCAGTGTCAATTTGGATAAAGCTGTTTCTATAATATATATTTGAATTCCGGTGGTGCTAGGTGGGGGTGTTGCTGGTAATAAATGAAGTTTCTTAGAAGGGTCTTTAACGAAAATATTGGATATTTGTTCGTGTTCGTGGCCTCATTATGCACTACACTTTGAACAAAACCTGAAGAGTTTAGGGGAGGCGGAGCTAGTTCTTTATAAAAACTTCTCCAAAACAGTAAAATAAGAATTTGTTTCAGTATCAAATTACTTACCCCTAGCAGCTGCAACCACAGTAGTACATACTGCTATTGTTCCCCGCCATCCCGTTCTGCTCAGGCCATCGATGGACAGAATAGAATTTGGAACCAAGAGTTTTAGCACTTCTTTCAGCATTTTTTGGGGGGGTTTCCAGGTAAAGTTCTGAGATAACACAGAGTCGGGCTCCATTTGCATAGACACCTGTCCGTGGAGACAGCTCGATCGGAAAGAAGAAAACCAAAATTAAGGAAGGCCATTATAAAATAAAAATAAAATTGACAAATTCAGTGCACCCAGTACAAATTTGAAAGTTCAAATAGAGGATCCAATTAAAAATATTACATAGTTCTAATTGTAGAAGTACATGTTTGAAGGATATATTAGAGCTATCATAGAATCCACAAACAAGTCATTGCCAAAAAACTACACACTCTAAAAGTTGATGTAACTGTCTTACAGGCAACTGAAGTCATTCTTTACTAACATTTCCAATTAGACCTGCTGCACCAGGGGCCTTGCATACCGGAGTGTCAACTGGGCGCTTTACACGGAAAAAAATGAGTTTGTCACAGCAACCGACAATCTGTTGCCACAACTGACAAATCGGTTATACTAGTGATGACTGACGGAATTCGTCGTCGCAATGGGTATTTCGGTTCCGACAACTAACGTTTTGTTTAACAGACCCATGAAAATTTCGGTTGCAGAATCAAACTTCTGTGAGCTTAAGCGAATAATTCGGGTTTATTTTCGAAACAGAATTTTTCGTTCCTACACAGAATATCTTTAGTCCCCACAGTTATTTCGTGTGAGTTCTAGAAAGTAGGTTGTTGTAACTAACAAGTCACCGTTGAGCATCGACAGATCACTGAACCCTAACAGCAAATTTTGACTCCGTAGCGCAAAGGAACAAGTCGTCCGTTGTTGCGCTACAAAGTCGAAAATTTCAAAAAGTTCAAAAGAAAAAAGTTGCAGCCTCCAAATTGTTTCTAACCTCAGCCACTGTTGAAAAGGTCTATTAAGACTGTCGGTGGCTGGACCGCCCGCGCAAAGACTGCGCTCTGAGTTGCTAAAGCGCTATCTATCGGAGAGGCATCTTTCGCCGCTGTCGGTAGAGTGCGCTTCGAGGATCTGAGAACAAAATTTTGCGCGGGTGGTCTCGGCAGCACCAGTTGAGTGATATAATATGAGTTTCTGCTCCCATGTCAGCACTTGCAAGTGCACACCTACTGAGTTGCACACTTGAAAGTATTTAACTTGTTTTCTGTTTTCATCTATGTGAAGTTGTGGTCTAAATTGAAAGAGCTGGCAGTTGAGGTAGAAGCTGGGATCCTCGACCCGAGCGAGGTTCTCGTGGATTTTGAGTCACCAGCACACACAGCCATCAGAACTGCATTTCCTGCCGCGACAATTATTGGCTGCAGGTTCCATCTAGGCCAGTGCTTCATAAAGCATATCCGTGAAGCGCCGTGAAGGGGGCATGCGGGAAGAATACGCAAATGTTCAGTGGGACGAAGGTGAGAGGTTTTTTTTAACGTATTGTTTTCATGTTTCTTTTTGACAAAATCCTGAAATTATAACCTTTTTGTAAACTGCAGGGAAATGGCTCCGTGCCTCGCGCGGCCTGTCTCTCCTCTCCTCCCCCCCCCCCCCCCCCCCCCCCCCCCCCCGGCATGGTAGACGATGGGTGGCTGGCCCTTATGGCAGAGGCATCATCTGGCGTCAAGTTCTCAAAATTTTCTGACTATGTGCTGGATACATATGTCGGCGACAAAGCCAAGTAAGTTAAAAATAAATCATCGTTTTGTTCAATTTATCATTATAAACTTATTTTAATTTGATTTTTTCGTTTCCTCCACAGGTTTCCTCCAGAACTGTGGTCTCGAGCCCCTCACTCAGACCCGCGCACCACTAACAGTGCAGAGGGGTTTCACAGACACTTCAACTCACAATTCACAGGAAGCCACCCCAATGAGGATGGCGACTGAAACTTTCGGCCGCCAGGATCGCTAGTGGCACTGGTCCCCTAGCGCGCCGCCGGCCGGGCGGAGCGTGTGTGAGCATAAACTAAAATTGCATTCTTGAGTACTTAACTCAAAGTACATCGACCATTACATCAAAATAAAGGCGAAAGCGTGAGGATTACAACGGTATAGTTCCTTATGTGATTGAAGGCCTTGTACTCGATCAGGGCCGTTTGGCAAAATGGGCTGTTTTTCTAAATCACAAGAGCTTTTTCAACCCGTATTTTCTCATGCAAGGAGACGAGCTATCAACCTACATAAAGCGAGCCGATTTTCCGCCTGACTTTAAACTGTGCATTCTTTTTTGCCGCACTTTGATACGACTTCTGGTTTTCGAGTACGAAGCTCATATCTACGCGCATGTCGGGCCGGGCCTGCGACGCGCCTGGCGCACATATAGCTAGGCCTACGGCGCTTACACCCGAGACAGGGTAATAGGAGTGTATATACAATTTTTCGAAATGAAGCCTTTTTAACGACTTAACAGGCCATTTAGTCGTTTTCACCTTATTTTTGCCAAGAAATGCCTCCTAGCACCCAAACGCTACGAGATAGAGCAAAACGGACAAAATTTTCGCTCAAAGGGTTCTACTTTCAGGGAATACCACTTAAAGAACCATAACAAACATTTGAAAAAAATACATTTTGCGACCTGTAGTTTTTGATTTTTTAAAGAGTCAATTTTTGAGCTAGAATGCTCATCTTCGAACTCGATCTGTCTTTTTATGAAACAAAACGACCCTGGAATTCCCAGATCGCTCTATCAATTCTTTCTCGAGTTATCGTGCGGACAGACAGACAGACAGACAAACAAACAAACAGAATGAAACTTTTCCGGTCAGTGAAGTAATGGGCTTCGCTAATCGCTCAGCCAATGAAGATATAAACCAAGCAAATAACTTCTTCCAAAGGGAGAGGTGGGCCTGAAATAAGAATATACAATTCAGTGCACTATTTTTACATATGATAGACACAGTTTCCTAAAACAAGGTAGATGTACGCCAGACCACGTCTCGCGTAACAGGCTTCGCGATACCTC